CCGAGTGCAGCCTGAAAGGAGAAAACAATCCCATCTCCCGGGCGAGGAAGCGGATTAAGGGATTAGGGGGTTCATTAAAGTCCCTCACAGCCCTTCCACCCCCAGCCCTCCCACCCACGGGAGGGATGGGGGACTGGAGAGGGAGCGTCCCCCCCCCACCCCAATCCCCCACTGGGACCCTGGGGGTCCAAGGGCCCCCCGGTGCTGGTCACACTCACTTCTCCTCCACCAGCTGCCGCTGATATTCCTCGTACTCCTCACGGGTCATTCCCTGTGCCTCGGCTGGAGACTTCTCCCCCTCGCTCTTCTCCTCGCCCCCCAGGCCCCCCGTCAGGTTCTTCAGCTGCCCCCCCACCATGCTCTTCACCATGAAGGCCATGGTGGTGGTCCCGGGGGAGCCCCGGTGTCGGGGAGCCGGGACGGGGAGTTACGGAGGAGCTGGGGTGCTGGGAGAAGGTGGGGGGGTTAATGGGGAGGTGAGGTCCTGGGGAGAGGGGAGGATGGGGATGCCGAGTTACGGGGGAGCTGGGAGAAACTGGGATAAGAGTGAGTTGGGGTGGTGGGGCCGCTGATATTCCTCGTACTCCTCACGGGTCATTCCCTGTGCCTCGGCTGGAGACTTCTCCCCCTCGCTCTTCTCCTCGCCCCCCAGGCCCCCCGTCAGGTTCTTCAGCTGCCCCCCCACCATGCTCTTCACCATGAAGGCCATGGTGGTGGTCCCGGGGGAGCCCCGGTGTCGGGGAGCCGGGACGGGGAGTTACGGAGGAGCTGGGGTGCTGGGAGAAGGTGGGGGGGTTAATGGGGAGGTGAGGTCCTGGGGAGAGGGGAGGATGGGGATGCCGAGTTACGGGGGAGCTGGGAGAAACTGGGATAAGAGTGAGTTGGGGTGGTGGGGTTAATGGGAATACTCAGTTACTGGGAAGCTGGGATGCTGTGGATGCAAGTTCCCGGGAAGCTGGGGCACTGGGTTACCGAGGAGGTGGGACCAGTGGAGCCAAATCCCCAGGGACTGGGATGCTGTGGAGATGGGTTCCCGGGGGCGCCGGAATACCGAGTCCTTGGGATGCTGGGATGGAGCGGAGCTGAGCTCCCGAGGTGCCGGAGTACCGGGTTATGGGGGAGCTGGGATGCTGGAGCACAGGGTTACGGGGGAGCAGGGATGCTGGAGCACAGGGTTATGGAGGAGCTGGGATGCCACGGAGATGAGTTCCTGGGATACTGGGGCACTGGGTTACGGGGGAGCTGGGATGCTGGAGTACGGGGGTTACGGAGGAGCTGGGATGCAGTGGAGTCAAGTTCCAGGGATACTGGGGCACCGGGTTATGGGGGAGCTGGGATGCAGTGGAACTGAGTTCCAGGGATGCCGGGGCACCGGGTTAGGGAGAAGCTGGGATGCTGGAGTACCGGGGTGACGGAGGAGCCGGGATGCAGTGAAACAGAGTTCCAGGGATGCCGGGGCACCAGGTTACGGGGGAGCAGGGATGCTGGAGCACCAGGTTACAGAGGAGCTGGGATGCTGGATTACCGGGTTATGGAGGAGCTGGGATGCAGTGGAGCCGAGTTCCAGGGATGTCGGGGCACGGGGTTACGGGGGAGCCGGGATGCCGGAGTACCGGGGTTATGGAGGAGCCGGGATGCAGTGGAGCTGAGTTCTAGGGATACTGGGGCACCGGGTTATGGAGGAGCCGGGATGCCGGGGAGCCGAGTTCCCGGGATGCCGGAGTACTGGGGTTACAGGGGATGTCGGAGTACCGGGGTGATGGGGGAGCCGGGATGCTGGAGTACCGGGTTACGGAGGAGCCGGGATGCTGGAGTACCGGGATGCCGGAGTACCGGGGTTACCGAGGAGCCGGGATGCAATGGAGCCGAGTTCCCGGGATGCCGGAGTACCGGGGTGATGGGGGAGCTGGGATGCCGGAGTACCGGGGTTACGGAGGAGCCGGGATGCAGTGGAGCTGAGTTCTAGGGATACTGGGGCACCGGGTTATGGAGGAGCCGGGATGCCGGGGAGCCGAGTTCCCGGGATGTGGGAATACCGGGGTTACAGAGGAGCCGGGATGCCGGAGTACCGGGGTGATGGGGGACACCGGGATTACCGAGGAGCCGGGATGCCGGGGAGCCGAGTTCCCGGGATGC